GCACTCCGCTTTGCGTCGTGCCCTTAAACTCGTTGCGCGTGCTTTAAAGACTTGATTATACACTTGTATCTTAATATACTATTAGTTACTTTTGCAATATGTAATTAAGGATATATCTAAGTAGGGTTGCCACATGGCCGGGATTTTCCGGGATTGTCCCGAAATTAGCTGCACTATCCCGGATCCGGGTTTTTCATACTTATATAAATCCCGGAAAAAATATGGCAACGTCTTGAATAAAAATTCAAAATTTGGTTGGGGGAAGGAGGGGCTGGTCCTTCATGGTACATGGCAGAAGTCTACTGCTGAGGTCAAAACGTTAAGAACGAATATTTGGCAAATAATTTAAAATTTATTGACCATAGCTGTTAGTTTCGTGAAGTAATTAGTTCTCAAAGAGACAAGCAATTTTCACGGCTGCGTTTTAGGAGAAAAAATAGTTCGTTAGTGCCCGTTTGAGCACAATTAAGTTGTTGGACCAAAACCACGAGGACCGAAATGAGCGCCGGGACCGAGTCGGTCAGGCCCGAAACAGCTTCATGTCCATTTGGTTGATTGGGTTTAAAAAAAATTGTCATTGGTAGGTATTCCTCTTTCAGCAACACTCATCTTAGGAATTAACCGCACCTCTCTATAATCATAATATGTATGTATTATACTGTGGTATAATTATTCGTCATAGATCATAGATAAAACCACCTTTTATTTATGATTACCCGTTGAATGTATTAATCGCAACCCAATATAATTTTATGATGAAGAAAAGGAAATAAACTAAATCAATATAGACGAGCGACAAGGTCGCTTCCGATTAACCAGTATTGACAAAAAATTAATCACTTAGTCGCTTGACTACTGTCTACCTATTACTGAAAACAGAACTGGAAAATTCGTAATCGTTCGGGAGTTATCATGTAGGGACACAGACGGACTGACAGACGGACAGAAATCATGAATTCGCTTAGGAGCCCTTAATAATGAAGAACTCCCTATATATTTTATTGCCATAATGACCTTCAATGGAACGTAAACGTGCTATACAGTATATTAAAATGAGTAGAAATGAAGAATTAAATGGAATTGATATTCTAATCTATAAAAATAAATGTTAAATGATAACTGTAGCATGCACCTGGCGTGGTGTTACAGTAAGCCAGTGTAATATAGATATTACCCTGTTGAAGTTAAACACATTTCATATGGCTAACTGTACCAAAATTCAAACGCGTTGTTTTACTATTGTGTTATATTATGGTTAAACGAAACAAAAAAATTCACCGCAGATTGCACTATTCTATTCTATTTGTTATTGGTAAGCTAATAGTCGTAATTCGTTATACCATACAGTAAATACGATATTTACATTATTTACCACGTAGCTTTTATAAATAAAAATTTTATGGAGTAGGTGTACCTACCGAAGAAAACTAAGAGTCTAGTCTAGCTAGAAATTTTGAGACCATTACCTGCATTCATGCAGCAAAAAAGAAATGTTGGAACAAACGGCATAATATGCGGTTTTCAGCTTTTCTTTCACTAGAATTTCCAAATCAGTCTGTGATTCAATCTCTTTTTGGTAGTTTGGCACAATTTGTTTGAATTATTTTGCTGCCAGTATTATGAGATAGGTACAAAAGAATTTCGGCCTTGTTAAATGCGAGTTTATGATGACAAAGCTCGTATACTTTCGAGTTGAGAAAGAAGAAATCTTTCCTATTATGACTTTGTTGCTAAATCTGCACTTAGAGTTTATTGCAAGTGAAAACAAAGTCTCCTGTTAATTAGATGCAAATACGCACGTTTTCATTTTGTTAACATTTAAGTAATTATATACACCACAATGAGAGGTGGAATAGGGTTTAAAAAAGGATGTTTATCTGACTCTGATAGTTGATTGGTTTGTGCATGAAAATGAGAATTATGAATATCCTATTTTCTCTAGATGGCTAAAATGTATATTCATAGTGTTGTACGTCACGCAAACGTTATTTTGGTTTCAGTACTTTGAATAAGGTTGAGCCACCTTGTATGTGAAATTTTTTCGAATAAACACAAAGTGCGATCGTTTCGTTGGAATTTGTATTTCAGTATTTGTTTTTCCTTTTTGAAATTTGTGTAGATGCGTAATTTGCATTTTAATAATAATAATAATAATACGATTTATTGTCCAACAGAATAAATTTCCAATTATAGGACAATTAATACCTAATCTAAGAAGCACAATAACTAAATATACTAATATCTTAACCGCTAACCTAATAAAAACCAAATTAAATGATATTAAACTTAAACAAGATTAAAAATAAGATTAAAAATATTCCATCAATCTTTTAAGATCAGATACTGCGCAAGTGTTAATGTCACACATATTAGCAATTTTGTTAAAGTTACTTACCATAACAAATATTGAAATATTGGTGATTTACAAAGTAAGTTTGTATTGGGCTTAGCACAATTGAAAGTATATACATTACGAGCCGAAGAACGTGGCACATGGAACCGAATGAGGGAAAGAAGAGCTGGATAATCTAGGTTATTGTGTAACAAATTGAAGAGAAAATTTAGATAAGGCGCTAGAAGTAATACACATCTTGCAAATATTATATCTCTAATTCAATTAATTACTGTTATTTGAAAAAAATGTATCTTGTGAAGTATTCCGATAGTGGGTTCGCACGGAATATAATTACCTAATGGTCTAAACTGAACATTTCTACTCAATAGCTGTCAACAATATTGGACATTTTCTAACTGAAATCGATGAATTTCATTGAACGACTAAATTCCTCTCCTTTTTACGTACGTTACTTCCTTACTCTACAAGAACGGGTTTTTAACTGACCCACCGAGCGCTTTCTTTACAAGTTAAATATCCATTCCTTAAAAAACAACATAGAACAATTAGACACGCTAGAAACGTAAATTTTTCGCCTTTATTGCTTTAGTCTCATAACCGAATTCTGTGTATGTCCTACGTCAGAAATTATCAGTTTGTGCGTTTAAAATCGTAAGAACTGGTTCATACGGAAAATGGCATGCTACGCATATTAGTAATAACGAGGGTCTAACATAAATGGGCGGTGTCTACAGTTATTAAGCGCGTACGCACTCATTATTTCTATTTGAAAAATCCAGGTAACGTTAAAAATTAATTAACAAGTTCCTATAACTTCAGTACCTACTCAGAATTATAAATGATCGTTATGATGACACGAGAGCTGTCAAGCCTGTAATCAAGCTCTTGCCATATAGTAGGGGAGCTAGCTCGAAATCCACTGAACAAGAGTGAACATTTGATAACTCCGTAAAAAAATAATTCTTGGTCGGTTTACAGATATAACTAGGTTACGGTTGGATGAATGAAGCTGATTTTTTTGCAGACTAATGGTAGGTACTGCCATAATAGTATTATACTATGGTACTGCTAATGACTAGAACTGTGTTTCTTTTTTAAATTTCTTCTCTAATTATAAAATATCGAAATTAATTATAAGATAATTTGGGACTGCAAAAATGCTTGCACGAGTAAAATCACAAATGGGAACGAAGCTGCCATTCTCAACAAATGGATAACGTTTAGATATAGATATGCACCGAGAGGATACTAAGAGATTCATAACTAGTGATTTGATTCACATTCGTAGATATTAAGAGAAACTCAGGAATATAATTGTGAATATTGTAACCGGATCCTGTACCTAGAAATTTCCATTCAGTATGACATAAAAAAAGGAATTTTACAGAAAACTTTTCCACGATTTCAATTTTCAAATCCCGGACTTTGAGACTCTAACCCAGAACCATTGATTGAAACTACATCTAGGAAACTTTAGACAGTTACGTAGGTACTACATCAACGACCAATATCACTTTAGAAATAATTTAAGGAACGTTCGATGATCCTTTTCGCAACTTTTCAGCGTAAAAAGTGAATTTACAATCCAGTAGAAAAAAAGCGGGGCAGATAAACTAATGTGAACAGCCGTAATGGTACTCGGAGTAAAGTTGTTATCAGTGGTATAAATGGCAGCATTAAAAATATTGAGCACTCAAACTTTAGGAAGTTTTCTAATTTGAGATTATTGTAACTTGATGGCTGTTTACGGTTTGCATATTTTTTACTGTTAGAAACTGAAACGCAGTGCTTTTTTACCGCTTCTAACTCAATGACTGTTACCTTTTGTACATCGGCCATTGGAACAATTTTGGTCAGTTCACTCTCAACAAATAAGTGAACTACATAGTAATTGATGCCATTATGTAGTTTCTTTAAGTTTTGTTATGTTATAACGTCATAAAGTAGTTCATTGGAGAAAAACGCCTTGACATTTCCAACGGAACGAAAAGCCTCAATTCTAATTTATTTTATTTCTAACACCAAATAACATTCCAGGCTTGTTCCCAGTTTAATCAAAATTGGCATCACTGATACATTCGCTATGTGTTTAGTTTAGTGTAAGAATTTCTTGGACTGAAAATGTACTCGAAATTATTGATACGTACTATTTATTCTACTAAAAATAAAATTTTGTTCTGTAAAACAGAATTCATCTCCATTCACTCGCAGAAAATTCTTTTGATATGTATACCTACCGTATATATGCACTTCCTACAAATTTACGTAAATGGTTGAAGTTCATTCGTTACTGCATTCTTTTCGCGTTGTATGTTTTAACAGAATTGCAAATTGCTAGTGCTAGCCTTACATCGGCGAACTACGAAAGCACAACTTGGTATCGTGGTAAGAATTTAGACATGCAGTTGCATTGGAAAACGTCTTTTTTTTTTTTTTTTCTTTTTCCGCATCAACCGCTGGGGTTATTAGCGGTGTAGTATTATTGTATGAGTGTGGTGTGTATGTGAGGGTGTGTGTGTTGGTGTGAGGGTGTGTTGGTGGGGGTGTGATGGTGTGTCTGTATATGTGTGTATTTCCTTTTCTCTTCTATGTGTGTATAGGTACAATTTGGTGTTTTGGTTAGTTGGGTTTTTGTACTAGAGATTCATATTGTGATTTGGTTGTTGGTTATAAATTTCACGATTTCTTTGCAACTCTCGATGTCGGTCAGTGCTTTTAAGGAATTTGTGTTGGAGCTGTACAGCATGTTTCTCTGTGCTGTGTAATCTGGACATCTGAAGAGAAGGTGTTCGACTGTTAATCTTGTTTGACATGTGTCGCAGCTAGGAGGGTCTTCGCGGGTGATTAGGAAGCGATGTGTCATTCGTGTGTGTCCTAGCCGTAGTCTGTTGATTATGACCTGAGATCTTCGTTTTGTGGGTATAGGCAAAGTGGGTTGTGTTAGGGGTTTCACTTGTTTAAGATGAGTGTCTGTCGGATTCCATTTCTCCTGCCATTGGTTGTTGATGATTTTCCGAAACTGGTTCTTTAGGTCGTTTGGCAGGAACAAATCTGTGATTGGTGTGTTTTGTGTTGTAGCTTCTTTAGCTGTTCTATCTGCATCCTCATTCCCAGGGATTCCGATATGTGATGGTGTGTATAGGAAAATTATTGAATTGGACAAGTTATCGATTTTTCTTCGAATTTCTTGGACGAGTGGGTTTTTGGGGTATATTTGTCTTAGGATTAAGATAGAGCTGAGGGAGTCTGTGCATATCACATAGTTTTCTTGTTGATGTAATGCTATGTAGTTAATGGCTTGTAAAATTGCGTAGATTTCTGCTGTGAACGTGCTGCACAATGCAGGCAGGCGGAACTTCCGTTTGCTTTTTGGGGTGATAATTGCTGCTCCTATTCTGTTGTCTGACTTAGATGCGTCGGTGTAGATGATGGAATAATTTTGGTACGATTTAATGATGCAGTTAAATTCGGCTAGTATCAGTGCTGGTGGTGTTTCTGTTTTTGGATGTTTGGTCAGGTTTAAGTTGGTATTTATCGCTTGTTGAGTCCACGGTGGGGTAGTAGTGTTAAACCATGGGAGAACTTTTTTTGGAATGGAGAAGTTGGTTTCTTTTTCCAAGCGATTTATCCTTTCGTATAAGGGGGGTGAGAGGTTTTGGTTTTTCGAGAATTCGTTTTTAAATTTTTTGGAAAAAGTGGAGGAGAGGCTGTTGGGGTTTCTTGTTCTGTGAGCTGCTGTGTTAATGGCGAAGTTAAATGTGAGAAACTTTCTACGAAAAACTAATGGAGGTTCGTTGGCGAGGCATAGCATGCTGGTAGTTGGGCTAGTGCAAAAGGCTCCTAGTGCAATTCTTATCGCGGAGTGTTGAATTGTGTCGATGATTTTGATATGAGATTTCCTTGCTGTCGCGTAGGATATACTTCCGTAGTCTAATTTTGATCGAATTAGGTGTTGGTAGATTTGTAGGAGGGTTTTTGTGTCGGCACCCCAGTGGTGGCTTGAGAGTACTTTTAACAAGTTTATCGCTCCATAACAAGATTTTTTGAGATATTCTATATGAGGTTTCCAGTTTAATTTTTGGTCGAAAATAATGCCTAAAAATCTAATGGTTTTTTCAAATTTTAGAGTTTTCCCGTATAATTTTAGGAGTGGAGATGATTTTGGTGTTTTTTTGGTGAAGGAAATGCATTTCGTTTTTTCGGTTGAGAATCTAAAACCCGATGTTTTTGACCAATTTTCTAAGCGGGACAAAGTATTTTGTAGGATTTTTTGTATAGAGTGGATGTTTTTGCCTTTCACATATATTACGAGATCGTCGGCGTATAAGTTGGCCTTCACAGGTGTTGAGATGTTTTCCACACAGTTGTTTATGGCGATGAGGAATAGTGAGGTGCTGATGACCGATCCTTGTGCGATGCCGTTTTCTAGAGTTCTCTGGGTGGATAATTTTCCGTTTAATCTGATTTTGAATGTCCTGTCGTTGAGGAAGTTTTTGACAAAGTTGTATATATTTCCGCTTAGTCCGTTGGATTTCAAAAAGTTGAGGATTGGATAGCTCCACGTCATTTCGTACGCTTTTTCTAGGTCGAAAAAGATTGCAATAACGCATTGTTTGTTTGCAAAAGCTTCGTTTATCTCTGATTCAAGCTGAATTATGTTGTCTTGTGTGGATCGATGTTTTCGGAAGCCATTTTGAGAAGGGTTGTTTTCCAAGAACCAGACTAGTCTGTTGTTCACGATTTTCTCTAACAATTTGCTTGTGGTGCATGTGAGGGAAATGGGGCGATAAGAGGAAGGTTCTTCTTTTTGTTTGTTTGGTTTCGGAATCACGTCTTTCAATTCATGAAAAAGTGATTTGCTACCGGCAAGGGCAAACAGTCAATTTCCGCGACCCACAAACCCCGAAAACTTTTTACATAATAATATTTTCATAAGAGATTTGATATTTATACGCTCGCGAATGAGAAAGTAGGTATAAAATATTTCAAACCAATTCAGTTCTTATTGTATTTTTCTACATAACGTTGTCAACGAGAAATGGGAACACGTCTTTGACATATGTTATAAATGTGAAGACAAAATGCAAAGCGATAGAATTCAGTCGCCGATTGCAGAAATTGAAGTAACGGTCGGTAATCAATTTTTAATCAAACATCAATCAACTTTGATTAAAAACGCTAGATGAATGGAGCTTAATTTTAATTATTTCCAATGCAATATTCTATCAGAACTTGTTTTACAAACGAAATAGTTCTCAATTTTACATTAAAATTGTTTCCTCGAGATCCTTTTATATAGGTAAGTCATATAGTAAAAATATTCATTTTATACAAAACCATAGTGTTGTAGATAGTCATAAAAAAATCTCACTAGACTATAATCAAAGATAATGTTTATGCTTTAGCCTCGTAACATGCAGGGGTGTGTTGTATCTCTAGATTGAAACAATGCCGAAGATCAGAGCGAGTCACCCTGTACTTAAGAAAAATGTAATTTCGGTTTGAGCATTCGAAATACAAGTCGGGACCTTCTGTATGCAAAAACATTTTTAAGTTATTTCATATAAGATCTGGGAAACTTAATTCAAACTGGAATAAATAATAATAAAAATGATTTCAGAAACACAGTGTTTATGATAATACTTTTTGATACACAACATTGTTAGTTTAGTTTTCTGGGGCGTAAATACTGTTGAAGGTTTTCCGACACGGAAACAGACGACATACAATTGGCCATGTGTAAAACATGGATTTTCCAAGATTGTCCATACAAACACAGCAACTGCCCTTGCTATTTAATTATCGACATTGCCAAATGCAAACCGCATTTGAAATGAAGGTCTATACCGATTTGTATGTCAAGTCGTCAGCGAGCTTATTTATTTTTTTTTTTAATTTATTGTGCCTCGACTACTTATGGCCATTGGCACAGTTAGAGTAAGATAAGTGTGGCTAACATAATAAGTATAGGACGTTATCTATATACAATTATACCAGTTGATGTCTTTCAGAAAGTTAATTACTCTGGCAATATTTTCTGGTGTTGCAAGGTCTTCTTTCAGGTCTGTCCCTATCCGCCATTTTAGTCTATTTTCATCATACTTTGGTCATTCGGAGAGAATGTGGTTTACAGTAAGAATGTTGTTGCATTCGCACCGTGGTGGATCGAGACTGTCCAAGATGTGGCCATGCGTGACACCAGTATGACCAATCCTTAATCTGTTTATTATTATGGTATCTTTTCTCGACATTAAGGGTAGATTATGTGCAGTTATTTGTGTTTGAATTTGGGCCAGTTTGGCGTTGGAGAGGCTCCAAATATGTTGCCATTTGCTGGTGATAGACTGCTTCAGAGAGTTTTGGAGGTCGGTGTGTAGTAATAAATGGCGCGATTACTGTTAACTAACTGCGATCCTTGCAATAGTTTTTTAATAAATACTTCTCAAAATGGATGTTATATATACGGATTTGTCCAAGGCCTTTGACAAAATTGATCGCCACATTATTTTCTGAGGAAATTTGAGAAGGGTTTTAGTTCCGATTTGGTTACAATTTTTGCGCATTTCCACAAAAATAAAAAAATGCGCTGTTGTCGCCACTTTGTCCGCCCGTCCGTCCGTCCGTATAGACGCTACTAGTTCTTTATCTTACGAGCTATTGTTTCGCTTTTTTTCGCTATTTGGTTCGTTATGGTGTCGAGGCTTGCACCAAGGAAGGAATTTTTTCTGGGTTTATTCTAAAAAAGTTGTAAAAAAACCAAAAAAACATTTTTTACATGTTCCATAAGTATACACTTTTGCCGTTTACCTGGCCGTTTATTAACGATTCTTTTGTTATTCAAGTTAGTTAGAATGGTCCCTTAAGAACATCGGGCATTATGCCATGGAGAGTGTGATGATACAGTATCTGGCAATTTTAAATTTGAATCATTCCCGTTCCTATGCAGAGAAAAACGCAAGGTACGCCACTGGAAATGTTTTATTGCGAATCTTAGTAATTCAAATTGCACAAGGAAAAAGGTTGCGCGCAAAAGTAAGAGATGGCTTGGTTTTCCCTTCCAGTCAGAGCGAGCTGATGAGGAAGGACATCTTTTGTCCAACAAACAAAAAGGTAGCGGTGGTGTAAGTGCGTTTGTTTAAGGAGCCAGGTAATTCTCTTTTATAATAGTAGAGTGTATGTAATTGCTTTTGTATATTTACTGTTGCTTTAATAGATGCGTGTTATCATAAATTTGAATTGGCAGGGTCTGTGTCTAAATTACGCACTAATTGTGAATTATAAATTATGTTGCAAACGTTTCCCTCTTTTATGCTTGAGTACTGTGCGATTAAAAATGAGGTGCTGTCGAGTCACCTTTGGAACTTTTGTTTACATGGGAAATCGTATTTAACTTGAAATTCCAAAGCCGACTCGACAGCAATTCATTTTTGATCGCCTGTTACTTATTACAATGGTATTTTGGCACAATCTTATTTTGTTAAATGCCAAATTATTTTCATGATTCTGGAATATTGGAATACTGTTATGTGAGGGGTCTCTAAACCCTACTCTGTCTGCAAATATAATACCACTGTAATATGATATAATGAGACAAGTTACGTCCTGGCCAAAATGGTTGGCGCCTGAGCTTTACCCATATTCTTCGTACCGTGAGCCCCTGGTGTGAATCTCGGGTTCCGTTACATAACAGTGTTAGTAAATAATTTCATGTCCGTGAAAGATGGTGGCAAAATATTTTAAATATCGGTGTGAACTCACGATTATGATTAAGTGGGAAATAAAATTCTCCGATGTACAGGTTGAAAATCTAGTTCAAAACGGTTATAAAGTAAAATTGTAAAATGCAAATTGGAAAAGAAGTGAGAAACTAAGTGAGTGCATATCCTGTAAAGTTTTCAGTAGCTCTTTTTCCCTTCCCTATAGCTATTCTCGTGTGATTGAGGTAACCCTGAATTGAATTTGAAATTTGATTGTTTTCGTTATTAACGTTTTTAATTAAATTTCGCTCTCGCCCATTTCTTGCGTTTTATTTATTTATATTGGCTGATCCTTAAAGTGACAACACATTTTCGAGCAATTCGTTTCACAACATAACGTAAGTCTCATCACTACTAGTACAATAGACAGGTTTGTTACTGGGCAATCATTGCCATGAGTTTCGGTTAGTTTTAGTGGGAGTTTTGGTTTTCAGTTGTCCAGTCGTTTCTCGGCTGGACTTGTTGTTCACGGTAGTTGCAGAATTTTGGTGCCGTGACCAGGTTTTGACCTTAGTACGTTACAAGAGTCAAGTGGAAGACAATGACAATGGTGAGCTTGTAACGAGAGGATATTTACGTAAATTTTTTGCGTTTTATTCCATGTGGAAGGAAAAACTTTTAAGTTTCAAGACGGTCAAGGATTCAGTAGTATCCATCAAACAAATACCTATGCATTGTCACATTCAAGTTTTTATTTTGTCGACGAGATTTATTTGTCATCTCTGTCAGGTCTAGGAATAACGTCTTTATCCTCAATCGTATTGAAGAGATTTTGTATCGTTTTACGTGATAAAAAGAGGTAATATAATGATTCATTTCTGACATTACGAATTAAGCTTCCTTGGGAAAGAGATAAGTAAAATTCTGTTACATCAGCGGTTTTTGTAGACCACCTTACATCCGGAAAACCAATGAAAATTAACGAAGGCTTTCCATCATGTAATAGATGTTTTAAGTCAACTTACTACAGAGAGAGGAAATGAGCTTTGCATGAAATAAATATTAAAAGTACAATTCCCTGCTTAAGCAATAAGTGGTTGGAATACTTCACAATCAATCTCCAAAAAAGAGCTCATAAGAATATTCTACTTGGCCTATAAATGTTCTGATCTATGAAAACCATGAATGGATACGTTCATTAACAAAGCAGCGTGTCCGTTACCTACTCGAAAACTTTCGTATTGAATTTAAGAACAGAAAATATACTCGTATAAGCTTAGTTTTATTACATTCGCAGTGCCACACGCCACACTGAAATAAGCAGCAGCAGCAGGTAGCTTACTTATATTTTCCGTGGCAACTCAATAAATTGAAAGGCAAGCCGAGAACATGCACCGCTGAATTTGATATCCTTGGGATAATACAGTTATTTCATTTCGAAATTGCCGCTACTAGACTGCTAAAGTAAACCTAATCGATAACTAATTTAGTTGTAGCGTTGAAGTTACAACTAAGAACTTCAGATGAATCATTCCATTTCAGAGCATCGATTGTCAATCTCTTTCGTTCCGGGATAATTGAGGTTTTCTGTTGTTCTAACCTGCTATATGTAGGTAAACTTTAAGTGATTGAAATAAATTAAAACTTCGCGGCATCTAAAAGCTCTAGTTGGTGATGGGTTGCAATTGCGCCGCTTTAATAGGTGTATTAATTCCCTAATAATAGATAGATTACTTCGTTATCGAAATGCAAATGTGAAGGTAGCATATGCTCCCAAGGGGTTACCATTTGATTAAACTTAGATAATGGTGGTAATTAGCAGCGCTATAACGTCATCCAACTTTTTTTAGGTAGGAGTTTCTGAGATTCA